TTTGTCCATGGAAGGTCCCTGCAAAATTTCATTGAAATTGGTTCAGGGGTTTTGGAGAAGAAGTCGAAAATGTAAATTGTTTACGGACGCACGACGGACGACGACGGACAAAAGGCGATCGCAATAGGTCACTTGAGACTTTGTCTCAGGTGACCTAAAAAAAACATTACACATACCAAGTTTTGAAAATGAATCCAATGCCTTCATCCTGTAGAAGTAGGAATTTGGTACTGAAAAAAATAAAATTGTTATAAATTAGATTCACATGATAAAATACAAGTATAGACAAATAAAAAGACTGGCAGCAATGAAAATAGTCATAATTCATTACTGAATTTTCTAAATCTGTCATGGTAAACATCACTTTTCTGATGTTCGCAGGAACAGGGTTATCAAACTTGTCGGAGCTTTAAAGATAATTGACCTTCTTATAAAGTTTGATATCAATCCATTAATCATGCAGGATATGAAACAGACACTGTGTGCTTTCAATAAAGGGACATATCCCTAAAACTATGGTGGGACAGTAGTGATCATCCACGCTGTCCGAGATTTTATAGTAACATACCTTCTGACAAAGCTTGAATTCAACCTGTTAATCTACTAATTATTGGAGACATTGCATATAAAAACAAGAGGCCTAATGGGCCTGAATCGCTTACATGTTATTAATCTTGCACTTGTGTTCTTAAAAGTGGACTAAAATACAGCTACAGGCAAAATACCAGTGTTTGATTCAAAAGAATATATTCAAAGATTTAAAGGTGCGACGCATGTGACCTTGAAAGTCAAACAAGGACATCAAGTTGAACAGACTTTATAGCCTTTCATACAAGCAAGCTTATCATTATTCTGGACCTTTAGATCATTCAGAAGTTGTTTTAAAGGTTTTAAACATATTTGACCCCTGTGACCTTGAATATAAGTCAAGGTAGTTTATTTGCACAAACTTGGTAGACCTTTATCCCAGCATGTTACTGGTCAAATATCATCACCCTAGGCCTCTTGGTTATTCAGAAGAAGTTGTTTAAAGGTTTTAAACATATTTGATCCCTGTGACCTTGAATATAAGTCAGGGTCATTTATTTGAACAAACTTGCAATTGGTAGCCCTCCATCCCAGCATAATACTGGCCAAATATCATCACCCTAGGCCTCTTGATTATCTAGAAGAAGTTGTTTAAAAGTTTTAAACATATATGACCCCTGTGACCTTGAATATAGATCAAGGTCATTCATTTGAACAATTTAGTAGCCCTTCATCCCAGCATGTTACTGGCAAATATCATGACCCTAGGCCTCTTGGTTATTCAGAAGAAGTTGTTAAATGATATTTGACCCCTGTGACCTTGAAAATGGATGAAGGTAATTTATGTAAACAAACTTGGTAGCCCTTCATCCCAGCATGCTTCTGGCCTAATATCATCATCCTAGGCTTTTTGGTTACTTGGTTAATGAGAAGTTGTAGTAAAAAGTTGACACCGGACGGACGACGGGTGTCACACCATGACATAAGCTCATTTGCCCTAAGTGCAGGTGAGCTAAAAACATTTACCCTTTTTTTAACAATAATTGATTATAATTAACATTTAATAATAGATTATCAGCCTGTGCATTATTTACAGAATCTGATGTACAAGAAGAATGCTTATCAGACAAATATATGGCAATTGTGTTTCTGAATTATAATGTAAACCTAGCGTTCCTCATAGCCTTGTAGCAGAGAACGACCTGTCTATATACCTGCTGATGCTGTCTGGAGGACTTTGGCGTTTAGCAGTACTGGTTCATGTCTTATTTTACACACACGATCCAGGCATTCCAGTATGCTCTTCCTCATTTTCTAAAACACACCCAATCAACAACACAATTTAATACATTCTTGGTTACAAGTACACATATTTCATTCATGGCGAACACATTTAAAGCCCATTTTACTATCATGATTATCTCGTATGAAGCTATACAAATGTCTGCATTAAATATAGGTTATATATTTATTTATTTTTTGGAAACATACCTTAGGTGCATCAGATCCAATAGAAATGTGTGGTCTCCTGGATGACCGCAGGCTAAATCGCATTATTTGACGTTTTCCCAAAAGTAACGCCAAGACGAACAACTGAAAATATGACAGGTAAATGAATATATATATATGGAAATAGATAACTATATGTTGACTTATCTGTACAATGGTTGCCATTAACCATCTTGTCACATTCATATCAACAACAACAGTTTCTTCAATAGCTGACCTGTTCCTTACTTACCTGGAATGTTCAATATAATAAAATTGTATGGGTTGAAAGGGCTAAATAAATACTTTCTGACAACAGGCGGAAATGTAGTCAATGAGAAGTCTTTAAGCATTTAGCCACTGCACTACTCTGCCTCAGTTGTAGTAGTAGTAGTAGTAGTACTACAAGATTTATATACAACTTTGTCGCCATTGCCCAGGGGATCATTAATTATATACTAAATGAGATTTGTTTGTACGTTTGAGTGCCTTCTTCACTACTCAGTAGCTCGATTATCCAGCAGACAACCAAAAACAGATTTAAGTACCTTCATTAGTTTTGAAGATTCACCCTTAGTTCCATATGTCTCTGCCCTTCTGCCAAAAGGGGAGTCAACCCCTAGATTTACACACCATAGAGTTTCAATGGTCTTGTATATACTACTTAATATTACATTAAGATTAAAATTCCTTTACTAAAACGGAAATATCATTTTAAAATTTGCCTCAGTTTCCCCTCTAGGAATTCTTCCTTTGCCCTCAGGCCTGACCGTGTCTGTCAAATTCATATACCCGGTATGTAATTAAAAGCATTAACTTGACTGTCCTAGGGAAAACTGTCGGTGTGACTAAATCATTCATTAATACAAATGTACAAAATGCATTTTGCTTGGAGCAGTCTGGATCAACAGCTGAATGATTTATTGTCAGTTTGATTTACCACAGTATGTTGTGCTTTACAACTTATGATAGACTTGGTGAAATGTAAAAGATGGTCAGATTTCAGTTGGACGAACACAGTCCTGTTCTAGAATCCCTAATAGGTGGCTTCAAACACAGAGTATTTATACAATTCAACCTCATTACAACGTCCTGTCACTATGAAGATGGGCATTGCATCCTACTTGCAAGCTAATGTGTTTGACAATTGTTTGCCTGAACAACTCCTCAAGACATTGTTATTGATAATTCCATTATTTTTCTTTGATTATAGCTGTACATCAATATAATGATTAATTGCAATTAATAAATGGTAATATGTAGTTACCAAGTCACTTCTTTTTCGATTGGAATGGCTTTTGAACTTGGAATTCAGTTGGTTATTGAGGTGTCTAAATGACATTTGCACTGTATTTAGGGGATACCATAATTTATTGCACTTGTACCCTGCAACTTCTTCAAAATTAGGTTGCTATTTCATGTTGCAGTTGAGTCTTACCAGAAAACCTGCTGCTATAAAAAGCACCAATCCAACAGTTGACATAGGTGGCTTCAGATCACTCATCTCTGTAGTCAGTCATCAACAGCTGAGGCAGATCTGAAATATGCAACGAAATACTTTACATTTTAGGGTTTTATATCAAAACTTGTTGCATGTCACATTTTATCTATAAACTCTAAAATACTTAAAATAATAGTAATAATACTCATTTCAAGTATTTTAGAGTTTATAGATAAAATGTGACATGCAACAAGTCGTGTATTCTCTTTCCTGTTATAAATGACAACAAAGACTTCTTCAAGTTCTCTTACATGCCAAGGACCATAGCGGACTGGAACAGCTTACCCTCCTCTCTTGGTGATGCTGACAGCCTTGAATCATTCAAGGCTGGCCTATACTCTCCACATTAAACAATTACCCCCCCAGTTTCTCACAGCTTGACTCCACACATACAGTACACCGTGAAACACATCTTCTCTTCTTCTCTTCATCTGTCCCACTAACACAGCCTGGTCTATGTCTGTATGCACACCTGCCGCCCCGAGTCGCCCGGGGGACGAAGTCCAACATTTCCTGTATGGAATTGTGTGATCGTGTTGCACTACTTTACATTCATTTATCACAGTCATGCTGTGAGACACGGAATACCACACACACACACCCCCCATTATATAATATATAATTTATACTTTTGCTTATTTCATTCAATTATAACTATAAGGTTTCTTTTGTCGATACATGCACCCACTAAGTCTAGAGACAATAATCCCTTCAATCTACCGGAGATGGTAGAATCTGTAACCGGAGATGGTAGAATCTGTAACCGGAGATGGTAGAATCTGTAACCGGAGATGGTAGAATCTGTAACCGGAGATGGTAGAATCTGTAACCGGAGATGGTAGAATCTGTAACCGGAGATGGTAGAATCTGTAACCGGAGATGGTAGAATCTGTAACCGGAGATGGTAGAATCTGTAACCGGAGATGGTAGAATCTGTAACCGGAGATGGTAGAATCTGTAACCGGAGATGGTAGAATCTGTAACCGGAGATGGTAGAATCTGTAACCGGAGATGGTAGAATCTGTAACCGGAGATGGTAGAATCTGTAACCGGAGATGGTAGAATCTGTAACCGGAGATGGTAGAATCTGTAACCGGAGATGGTAGAATCTGTAACCGGAGATGGTAGAATCTGTAACCGGAGATGGTAGAATCTGTAATGTGGCTCTTTGCTGACGACACTAAATTGTATACTGGGTATAGGGAGGGGAAGGATCTACAGAAGGACTTGGATAACTTACAGCACTGGTCAGATGAGTGGCTTCTCAGGTTTTACCCAGATAAATGCCATCTGATGAGAATTGGGAGGGATGTCAATAACGCCCCGACCTTGTATAAAGATTCAGGAGGAAATAGGATCAGGGTCAGTTATATATATAAGTGAGGAGAAAGAAGAGAAAGATTTGGGCATAATTGTTGACAATAATTTAAATTTCAGGCAACATATCCAATCAGCAGTGAATAAGGCAAACAGCTAGAGTACTTGGAACTATAAGAACATATACATATTTAGATGAAAGATCATTCTGTTTATTATATAAAGCATTGGTAAGGCCGCACTTGGAATATGGGGCTAGTGTTTAGAACCCTCATCAATTACAGCACATAAAGTTAATTGAGAATGTACAGAGAAGAGCAACAAAGTTACTTCCTGGTATGAAAGATATGACATATGAGGAACGCATGAGACACCTGAAATTGCCATCACTAAAATATTGAAGGGATAGGGGAGACATGGTTAAAGTATACAAAGTGTTAAGAGGTCTGTATGACAAGAACGGAGTAAATGATCTATTAAGTGTGAAACAGAATAAAAGAACGAGAGGTAAAATGCTTTCATTGGAGAAGTCAAGATCTAGGCTCAATGTCAGGAAATACTCATTTACGTAGAGAGTGGTTAACAACTGGAACTCGTTGCCGGCGGAAGTGGTCCAATCTCTTACACTTAATTCGTTCGAGAACCGTTTGGACAAGTTCTGGAAGGCGGAAGACAGCATGTACAGTTTAGCTACTGACAACACAAGTATCACATCAACCAAAAGTGACTACCCGAATATAGCAGCTATTGGCCTACATTCAGAATCAACTAAGTAAGACTAAGTAAGTAAGTAACACTTTTTATTTCCTTTCTAAGAATCGGTGTATTGACTATACCTGTGTTCTTGCCACATTTCGGCCTATGTCAACATAAATATTGACAACTATGCCTGTGGTCTCATTATTTACCTTGATTGCAACTTATTATCTTAATTATGCTGAACAGTTATGTAAAATTTCTTCTTCTTCTCTTCTTTAGGGTGCAGGGGCTCCATCAATGTGTTGGCGATTATGCCCTCGGGGGTCCTATCACAGAGGTTCCGGGTTGTTTCGCCCCAAATCCTGTTCGCCCTAGGTTGTGAAACCACCGAGGGCATAATCGCCAACACATTTATGGAGCCCCTGCACCCTAGTAGGGTGTGAAACAAGTGGGTTTATTATACAGTGATTAGTCTGGGGTGTTGTTGGGGTTTTTTTTTGGGGGGGGGGGGGGGGGGGTGCAGGGTATAGATAAAAGGTAAAAGCCGGCGTATGTTTTAGCGTGTGATGAGGGCTTCAAGGGCTGCATAGGGTATGTGTGCCTTGAAGTCCTCTAGGGCCTGTTCGTTTATGCAGAACCAGTTTGACCGTTTATAAATGTAACAATTTCGGGTATAAATCCTAGCGGACCTGCAAATGTGTATGCAGTCCCTTGCAAGGCTTGCCTGAAAGCAGCATCAGATTACTAGCTCCGACCTTATTTAATAAACGAACAACAACAACAACAGTGGTCCGACCGGTTTGATCGTTTACACGAAAACGGCCCTTTTTGTTACAGTAGTGACTAGTGTTGTGCATATTTTATAGATGGACGGAGATTTGTAGATGTCCTTTGCAGATATGTGTTTGAATGCGTAAAGTCAGTAATATTACCGGGTTATCGAGAAGTATGCCTGATGTCACCTTTAAGCGTGTTTTCTGCTTTCTGCTAGTTTTCAGTGCCTTGATCAAGTTGTTGCTTTTCTTTTTAATCTACCTACTCGAGGTATTCCGAAATTTAACCGGAAACAGGAAGTCTGTACCCGGGACTCATCGGAAGTTGTCTTTCTCCCTTGTCGGTTAACGTTGATGCACTAAAAATGAAGATAGACTTGCAACTCGTCAATAGTTCAAATGGCGTGTTCTACGCTGGTCAAGTGGTAGAGGCCGTAGTTCAAGTGCACACCCAACACGAAGAGGAAATCAGAGGTTTGATTTTGATTGCATCTCTCGTTTACTACCCTTCACAAAACTTCGAAAACTAGAGGGGTGCGGCGCGTCTAATTACCCAATACCACCCAATCGGACTAAATTATATATATATTTATATTATTATATCTTTTTTATCGGGTACAAGTACGTCATTTGATAAAAGGATTGCAACGAATTAAAAAAAGTATTGTATTGATATGGTCGGGCAAGAACGGTCGACGATTTACATGAACAGACAGAAACGGGGCAGGATCGGACTTATTTATATATATTTAATTATCTTTATCTGGTATAAGGTATATTTGATAAAAGAATTGCAATTACAGGAACGGGGCAGGATTGGAATATATATATATATATAAATTGCCAGGCCGAGGTTCCAATTTATGTCTCTGTTTTATTCTATAAAAAAGGGTTGTTCAGAGAATTATATATTACATATATGATAAATAAGTATCTGGGTTATTTTCTCATTTATATATATGACATTGTTAATGCGATGTCATAACACCTGAAACGTTGGAAATGACATTATGATAACTAAATTTTAATAACTTCATAACTTATACTCAACTCTTAATAAAAAGCATGAATATATTTTGAGTGAATTAATTGGTGTTAATGTGTAGATTACAATCCCATCCCGTCTACGATTTAAAAAAAAA